AAAAAAAATCCAGCATTTGCAAAAGAAAGGCACCGAGCCCAAAATGGAAGTGAAACCAAACATGTGAGTAGGGACATGTTCTTTTTTATTTGGATGAAAATGTCTGTTTTTTTCACAGTTTTATAAAAAAAGACAGTTCAGGGCAAAAAAAAAGAGACACACAAAAGCCAAGGTATACCCAAAGAAAGAGGACAAAACTTGGAAAGTGAAGGGGGAGGACACCTCTACTTGGACCTGGCTATTATGTTTCTCTTGGATTCAAATGGACACTGGACCAGAGTTGGAAATGAGCAGTGCAATGCCCTCAAACATCTCAGTGTACTGGGTTCAAGATTTAAAATGCTGCCATTTATTTCTAAAGTGCTATGCCTACTACAGTGGACCACAGTCAGATATATCCATTTCATCATAAATTTCACAGGGTCTGAACAATTTCAACCTGTATCGTCATTCTTCTGCTGAAGGGAATGAAACACTTGTATTTTTCTGTTTGGCAAATAAAATGTGCCATTATACAAGGAAGCATTCTAAATTGGGCCGTACGGGCCATTTGAAATATTGTACAGGGGAGAATAGTGTATCGTAACCAGCCATCTTGGGCTGACCTAAACAACTGAGGCAGGTTCCAAGAGGCAAATCACGTAAAATTCAACACAGGCTTTCCTAGATTTCTGTTACATGTGGTTCATATCCCTGCGGGCCAAAGTGATGAAGCAAAGCTCGTGATGCAAGGTGTTGAAAAATTCCCCAAACACTCTGAGTGTTAAGGCTTGTCCATTTTTTTTATTCATCCCTTTCACAAGAATACAATGCCAACTCTTGTCTCTGGTACCCCTTTGTAAAAATACACAAACTGAAAAGGAGGAAAAGCTACTATTTCTGTTAAACAGAATGGTGAACGTACAGTTTATAACCCATATTTTTCTCGAGTTGATTCCATCCGTACCTTCTCTTCAACGGCAACAGGTTTCATATTCTTGAATCAACTTGTGCTCCTCGTCCATGTGTGTCTGCGTGTTGAGATGGAACAGTAAGTCCCTAGGTGAGTAGAAGACAGTCTCACACAACCAGCAGTGGGCTGGCTTGTCAAAGAGTACTGTTGACCTGTCACCACCAGAAAAAATTAGTCTGATCACTATTAGGCAGTAGTGGAATTCAGGGACCCTCTCCCGTACAGTATAACAAGAGATGGGGAGCTGGGGAACTAGACCAATGAGAATACTCTTGCCAAATACACTAGACAAAACTGTGTCAACACCCTATATGTGGGTGTGGATACGGGAGGGGGTAGTTTAGGGGTGGAACACATGCCTCCCAAGGAGTTCCACTAAACAGAGGGACAAACATGACGTCTGCCTGCCCCCGCCCCCACCCCTTTAAAAATTCTGAATCTGCACCTGGCTTTAACAACTCCATGGTTTAAATGACTTAACTAAAACACTACAAATGCAAATTGTAATGGGTGGGGAAGGAGAGAGGGAAACCTGACAAAAGTCCAAATCTTCAAACACTGCCAACAACCTTCCTCTCGATATCACAGCTGTTCTGACAGAAGAAATAACGGCCGTTTTACATTTGAATGCTGTACTTCAATGTTTGACAACAGAGACATTGGCTTTTGCAGTGTGCAGTGAGGACGCCCATGGGAAATCGGCGGATGATTTCCGTGGAAAGGTTTATTGCGTGCATTATGCCGGACAATCCGCTTTAGGGAGGACACCTCTACTTGTAAGTAGCATGTAACCTGGAAGAGCATGTAAGTACGCAAGCTTGTGTTGGCCACAAATTTTAAGGAATTTTAATGTAAGAATCTCCCATCAAGTTAATGTCAATTTTGATGAGTTCTGATTTCAAATTGAGTACATTTGTTAAACTGTAAAAGCGTAGGAAGGAAAAAAGAGCATGGCAGTGTCCAAGAAAGTAATTAATGAAAGGAAAGAAAAGTAGATGATCCATGCAATGAATTTATCCGAGATAATTTCTTGTACAACTTTGCACTCTTCTTTTAGTGGACATCTTTTTAGGTAAGTGCACTATGAAGTGCTTTTTTTTCAATGTTTCCATTTGTCACAATTTTCAAACAAAGGGAACTATTGTGATGTAATTCAAACAAGACACTGATTAATTTACAGGGACTTCTGTTCAAAATGTGAATTAAAACATTTCTGACAAAGAGTTGCCGCTGGATTATTACCATATATTTACATAACCATGAACAATAACAGATAGAAAAACTTCACCATTGGAAATAAAAGATTTGTATGAATAAAGCAATGCAACATTGAGACTTTCTCCTTGAAATGACATCATTGTTTTGCTCATGAATATGGAATCTATACCTGCCATAAAAACCAAACAGGCACTAAAATTTTTTTAACTGAACAAAAATTTGAAATGTCTTTTCAAACGTTGCAATACAAAGAATAGCATTACAAAGACCATTTAAAAATTACACACCATTTTAAATTCTACACTGAAGCAATTTTGTAGTCAAGACCCCTTAAGACGATAGAAAAGAACCCTCACAAGATCCCAAAAGATCAGCACAGGATCTCCAGTCTAAATTCCAGGCACAAGCTTTTCAGTTGAATAGTAACAAAGAACATTCTCCTGTCACTGATTACCCTTTTACTTGTGACTTCTGACAATCACTAGTCTTGTAACCAGTCCAGTGTCTAGTCTTCTACTGTTCCTGAGTCTAGTCTTGTGATGGTCTATACCCATGTCAGAGTAAAATACAAACAAATGTGGGGGGGGGTATAAGTGATGTACTCCATGCCTTTGAAGTCAAATAGCAGTGCTTAAACTCAAGGCATAAGCCAGCATGTCATAACCTTCAACACAGTGCTGTGTTGAAAAACATTAATTCATTTCTATTTCAATTTATGAAATCATTTCTGCACCATTAACTGAATTGATGTGACTGGCAATGACAGCTGGCTACATCTTTCTCCTTGTCACACAGAAGCAATCTATGCTATGCCAAGGCCATCTGATTTAATTTCTGCCATGTTGTCAGCGCTGCACCACTGAGAAAACTCCTGGCTGGAATTGTTAAAGCATCCAATGCAATACCAGATTTATTTTTCCAAAATCACTCGCTGATGGCAATATTATTTTGGAAAAAATTTCAGTTTTTCAAAAAAGCCAAAATATACAGCCAGTCATCCTTAATATTGATTTGCAACAGTCTCTTTGTGTGTTTGTGGGAAAAAAGATGCAGAACTGATTGAATTTAGAACTGATTGTAAGTTAAAGTGAGCTTGACATCTTAACCGGTCATCCGTGCACGAGTATACAGCTAGCCAGATTGTGCTTACGCATCCTCTGGTACAAAGTGGGTAGGGACGAGGCACTCTTTACCTGTTGGCCAGAGAGTGGAGATGATCCAGATGTCCCTTCTGCTCTCTAAGATCTCTTAGGTCCTCTTCCGGATCATATCGCGGATTTTGTAGCGAGACAGAGTTGTGGAATTCATACAGCTTGGGGTAACCGGGAGTGTCTACTTCATCTTCGGTGTAAAGAATTTCACTGGGATCAACCTGACCAGGGAAAAAAGAAAAAGAGAAACAGACTTAATACTGATTAACCACTTGCCGCCGGGGAACCCAGTTTCGGAGACTTGTCAGATTAGAGTAGCCACCAGACAGTCATTTGTGTGGGTGTGAAGGTCCAGTAAATGACGTTATGATTTTCTGAAGAATTTTGAAAATGAAAAATCTTGAAAAATCCCCCGGGTATACGTCATACAACTTCAAATTAATCCTGGCAGCAAGTGGTTAAGAGAATCTGTAATAACACTTTCCTGTATCAAACCATGAATTTTGTGTCCCAGTTTTTGCATGTGAAATGAAAATATAAAAATCTGCTACATGTATGTGCAACAATTTGAAAAGTCCAATCCTTTACCCACACATACAGGTAGAACACTTCAACAGATCACTGTTCTGTTGCAAATTTATCAGAAAAGGTAGAACTGACTAAGGATCAAGCGAGTTGTGGGACTGCATTCCCAGTTGTGAATTTGTTGCATTTGAAATTTACGTGCCATGTCAGGCTGCGAACTCTGAAGTCCTGGCCCAAAATGACACGCCCCGTGCTACACGCAGTGCCATACATGTACACCACTCTTTCATTTGAGTAAACTTCATTCCAAGCAATTTATTTTGTTCCCCACATTTTGGCCTGTGTCCCACTTTGGACCCTCCATTCAAAGAATGACCCAAATACGTGTCCAAGTACCACAAAAGATGGCTAGCTGTGGATGTCCAACAGCCTACAGAGTTGCAAACATATCAGTTCATGGTATACATGATAATGTGCATTCTATTTGTGAGAAGTGAGAAAGGAATGACTATATGTGTACACTAGACCCAAAAACAAAGACAAAAAAATACAGGCCTACATCAGAACATATCTCACTCGAAAAATGAACCTGGGAGCACTTTCAGTGACAAATAAGAGGTTTCTCATTCTACCGTCTGAGGAATGTTTGTCCAAAACAAATTTCCCATTAACCAAAACAGCTGTTAATAATACGATGAAAAGAAATCAGGGGGAAAAAAAACAAACCAAGACTGATCAATCAGCCACGCTATACACCGCTTTTCAAAACAGCTCGTAAACCGAACGAGAGCAGGAGAGTTTCATGAGGAAACAGGAGAGAGTTGATGCATTACCCACATTCCAGAACTATCCAAATCGGCACAAAATTTCTCAGGATGATCACTTTATTTATTCATTTCAGTGAAAGAGTACAAACTCTTGATATAGTGAAATGATAACTTTGGTGTCTTTTTGGCACTTGTGCAGGCAGCAGAGAATCTTTTTTCTTTTGAAACAGTTTAAGACGAGTAAAAAAAGGGCTGTTTTGGAGAGCTAATCTAAAAATGGCTGCTTGTTTGAGGGAATTTTCGATATTATACATGCTGAATATAATCTTCCAATCAAAAAACCTGCAGGGGTTTTAACTGGAAGTGGGTTAGTTGGTTGGCAAAAGGTGAACCGTAGACTTGGCAGTGAGGATCACTGCTGGATGGAGAAGGTTCCCATCTCCAAATTGATTGGTGCCTAAAGTAACTTGTAAAATCCACTGGTTCTAGAATCTTGGGTAAAATGTTAATGATAGCAATTCAAAGTATCATTAAAGTTTCTTTTCTACAGGAAGAAAGCTGATAAAAAATTGAAAATGATGGGCATTCCCAACATTGCAACATCCTCGACTGGTTCTCATTACTGGACTCAAAACAAGGTAACCATGGAAACAGACCAAATGACGTGCGTGGCTAATGAATTCTTAAGGGAGAAATACGCAAAATGATAGGCATCAAGGAGCCTTGTTTTCTTTTGATTCATTAAAGATGTTTGGAGGGAGCAGAATGGATGCTGATGATTCAAGACTGCAAATCAGTGAAAAATGCACAGCGAGTTTCAGAAATGTAGTTCAGGCATTATACTGTTTTTGTTTGTCACAAGGCTATGATAAATTCCATTTGTTTGAAGTTTGTTCAAACAGTGCCAACTGTCTGTCTTCTGGAAATTCAGAGTCCACTTGGTGTAGACTAAAACACATGTGGCATTTTTTTAATTGTTGGGACTCAAAATCTATTGCCCAAAAGAGGACATCTTTCTCCGTTAACATACAGACTGAATTGAAAATTATGTCAAGAATCCACAGAATTTTAACCGAAAAATTTTTTAAAATTCTTAACCTGTAATTTCTGAGAGAGATTAAGCCACACAAATTATCCCCGTAAAACAAATACGCACAGCTTGAAATCAATTTCAATGACAGTTCGAAATACGTAACTCAGATCCGCTGTCCGTTGCAACAGGAACATAAAAATGTCACTTCAGGACTACAAATTTTAACGGAATGACAACCGAATGTTGTGTAAATTGATACATTTCGAATATCTTCTGTGATGGCATATGCCAAAAAAAGATTGCAAGGTTATCAAATGGCACAATTATTGGCTACAAAAAGTACCAATAGCTGAGTAGACCTGGGACAAAGAATTATGGTGGCCTCTCCATAGGTGGCATAATGAGCTTGAGCCAAATTAGCTGGCAACGAGGATATGAAAAATTCATGTGAACAGTTGGCTTCAAATTGAAAACTGTCTGCCACACTGATCAATAACTTATCCAAAGAACTTTGCTCCCGGTTATTTTTTCTTGTCAAGGGAAAAAATGAACGCTTTTATTATTCAGCAGGGTGGAATGCAGGGTTGGGGATTGTTCGTTACTAGGGTCGTCCACAAAAGCACGTTGTGTGTACATGTACGTACTTATTAACAGCCTCTCAAGCTTTTGCCGAAGGTTGATTGGACTGGACAACACCTAACACAAGGTGGCGCTTTTCATACAGCCTAATTTACAACCTCCTAATTTTTCACCACTACCAGTGTACAGAGATGAGTGAACGAGTGCCTGACTTACTTGCTGCCATAGGTAAGCTCTACCAAAGTGTACCGGTTCGGCTGGTTCCCGTTTCTTCTTCACCAATCTGTACGCAAGATATACGTACACCACTTAACTCCATCTCATAACAACTGATCATGCTCAAAAGCAATGTTATGGTCGGCTGATTATTTTCAAACGAACCATTTGGCCCTCAATACCACGTTGACTTGCAGGTTTTGTCTAGAATGTTTACTGCAGAGCACAGCCCGTTTTTCCTGAGATAGGATACTACAAAGTGATGACATCTGGTCAATTCCTGAGGGTTCTATGTACAAGTAATCATTATTTTGCTTACTGGCTCTTTCACAGACCCATAAGACCCCTTGCATATCTGCCAGTATTATGGGTGAAGATTTCAGTGCCACACACAGTATTCAGGAAGAAAGTATGTCTTCAAAACTGTACAAATGGCTTAAAGCGTGAGATAAATGCGATTCATTATAGCGATGATGGTACCAGGCACACGGTGACCATTCTACCAGAGTTGCTGACTCGAGTCATGTGACTTGGACTCGAGTCGGATTCGAGTCGCTATTTTTGTCACAAAAAGTTACAAATATTTACGTTGCTTAATTAATTCTAATATTTAATTTTAGCTTTTTTGGTTTCCTGTTTAAAATTTCCTTGGGTGAGTGGATGTCAGGGGCTGAAGTTAAAGTGTAGAGAAAATGGCCAACATTTGGGGGGATGGGGAAGACGATAGGGTTTTAGAGCGAGGGGCTGACGGTTGACAGACGGCTCTTACTTCAGTAACACATTCCTGGCCTGCGTTTGGAGCTGGTTGGATGCTGATGACCCCCAACTGGCGATGGCATTCTGGGAACCAATAGCCAGGTTCATCGCCAGGCGGATGGCATTGATCTTCAAAGATGGAAGGAACAATTGACGAGTTTAATTAGAGAGAGTTTTGTTCTTGCTCTTCACCCACGGACAATTAACTTCCGAAATGTAATTGCAGCGTTCAAGAAGCTTGATTTGTCTTTCTGTTCAACCTTGCAAAAGATAATTGTTCCATTCAAATGATAAATGCTTGTGCCAAAGGAAAGGCTAATGGTACCGGTAGTTTGTAAGTTGTGTAGGGCTGAGTCCATTTGAATAATTCACTATTCGAATATTCGAACTTCAATTTGATCAAATATACAAATATTTGGTTTACCGACTGGCAGATTGTTGATGATTATACCATATACAAAATCAGTTGCAATAACACACACAATTGTACATTATAATCACTAGTACAGCTTCTCACGTCTAGGAGTGCCTTCAGCCACAATTTAGCAAGATTTAAGAGACGAACAATACTTCTTGCCCTGTTGAAAATTTCTATTCCTTTTAAAGTTTTTACTTTTTTAATTTACTTTTTGAGTAGTAAGATTTCTGTTGCTTTTCATTTAAATCTGCTTGAAACAAGCCTCCAGAGTGCAATTTTTCTCAAACAAAAGAAAATGAATTTTACAATTTTATAATTACACGTTAAAAATTACCATTGTTTGTCCACAAATTGTCCACAAACATTTATCATTTGAGGAGGCAATTATCTTCAGCATGGCTGGGTGGAAAAAACAAATGAAGCTCTCTGAATGGTGCAATTACAATTCCAAGGTTAAATCTGTTTAAGACACATCAATCACATTTCACAAATATAAATAATTAAATGTCCAAGGTTGTGGAGGATGAATTAAACATGGACGTAACAGCTTGGAACCGTCGGGGCAGTGCACTATTGGAGGCCGTCAAAAGCGATGTAATTAAGGCCATGTTTGATTGGTTCTTTGACTCTATTATCAGGTGGGGATTGCTGTTTGTTTATTTGTGATATAACAATGATAGATTGTGAATTTTTACAAGGAGTTATAATTGGAAGTTTTGTTTGGTCGGGGAGGGTGATTGGGTATTTCAGGTTAGGAATGACAAACTTATATCGGAATTACTCAGCCACTACCAGCAAGAATACATGTGC